AAACCTCAACACTGAAGTAAACTATTATTTCAATGCTGCTGGAACTGCTTGGGACCCAGTTAAGTTCACATGCGAAAAATTTGAATGCAAGAGAATAGAAAGCAGACTTGCAGTCTATATGTTGGACCCAGATATTTCAAATGCTTTAGCTGCCAAATATATTGCAGTTCCACTTATGTTCCCTATACACCAAATATCTGTCAAAGACTTTGCAGGTGAAGTTGGAAACCAAAGTGCTGACCCAGGTGCAAGAACAGATATTGCCTTAACAACTGCAATGAAACATGCAGATACTATGTTTGTACTGTTCAGACGAACTATAAATGACTATTCTTGTTTCTACAACCCTGGTATTAAATATCATATAAACATAGATGGCAAATATTATCCAAGAGAAGAATATTCTACAGTTGAGGATATGAGGTCATACAACTTGACATTAGATGCTATGAACTTTAACAACAACTTCACAACAACCATTAACCCTGAAATGCAAAGTTCTATTATGCCATATGTGAAAGTATGGACTCATGCAGGAGGTCAAAAAACTCAATATACAAATGGAGACCGTTCAAACTTTTGGCTTGGCATTCCATTTGCTGACTCAGAAGACTTTATGGGTGGTATTTCAACTGTTGGTACAGTTCAAATACAATATACTGGTGACAGAGACGGTCCAGATGATTGAAAGCAAAGAAGTTTACAAAACCAATAGCACTTTTCACGGAAGATGCTCTTTTGAAGATTCGTTCGATGAAACCTGCTGGGGCTCCTCAGATTGGTATAACGACAGCTTCCATCGAGCAGATTTTGGCAGCAGGTCAGTAAGTTGTTCTTGAACTGACTTCTCTCCGTCAAATATTGACAGTACGCCAGTTTTGATATAATATTGTATTATAAACTTACCTTTAGAAATATCGGTCAGTTTTGTTGTTATATTTTGTCTGCTTCAAGAACTTTCACCATCTCGGTTATACCAACTTTCTTTGCTTTATGAAAATATTTTGGTTCAGCAAAGACTGCTATTCTATAACATTTTCCATTGTTTGTATAAAGAACTATTCTATCAATGAACTTGTATTGTTTGTGTGTGTAAACTTTGTTTTGCTTCAATTCGAAGAGATACTCAAATACGTCCATCTTTTTATTCTAAGTAAAATGTCATTCCGAAAAATAGAAGCGTAAGTGTTTCAAAAGGTTTAATGGCGATGGCAGATGTGAAGTTAAATTCACCAACTCAAACAAACAGTCAAAGTGTTGTTGTCAATGTCAAAGACAGAGATGTTGAAGTGGGGAAACCATACGAAGACGAAGATGGTATAACAATAGTTCCTGTAAAAGAACCAACATACCCTGAAGTTAGCAGAGACTTAAGTTCTGTTGCAGATATTCGAAACGACTACCAACAACTTAAAGACAAACTAAAACTCAGGAGAAGATTTGTCAAGCTTTAGGTCTAATGTTAAACTTGGTCGAACACAACCCTGTAAAAGTGAACTCATATGTCATCGCACCTCATGAAGTTTTGAAAGAACTATTGAAACTTTTGACAGAGGCAGACGATATAAACATCAAAGAAATAGAGCCGACATTGCTTGCTGTGGTGTTTCATATAATGTCATTGACAAGATATACGTTATGAAAGGAGGTGAAACGTTGAACTTAAAATATAGTTTCCCAGACGTCATAAAAATATTTGACGACCACAACATTTCATTAAAGTTTGTTTGCTAAGTAAAAATGTCAAAACTTCTTGAAAGATGTTTGAAGAAAAACAATATAGACTTTATTTCATGTAAAGGACTTTACACACTTTTGAACGATATGAAAGACCCTGTTTTGTTTGTTCGTGTAGACAAAGGAAAGTTCTATGTCTTTACAAAATATTTGAACTTCTTAGACAGAGAACTTCAAGAAACGTCATGTGAAAGTTTAGATGAAGTTCTTCTCACTTTCAGAAAAACTTTTAAATATATGTAAATGGCAGAAGACATAGTGGTTTATACTATTACGACTAAAAACCCTGAGTCATATAATTCTATAACAACAAACTTACAAAGTCCTCAGGACGATATTGTAAACTGACCTTAAACACGATGACGACTAAAGCCTGTTTTGCTCTTTTTGACACCAGAAGACTTTGTGTTGTGAATGGTAAAAAATACTCCTTTGAAGATACTTACTCAGATATACACCAACAGGTTTTGTTGACTTATTTAATACTTTAAGGACGGATGTAACATGTGCTGCAACTAGAGCAGGTTTCATTATGTTTGGATGTCCGACTGAGTTAGTATAAACGATATGAGCTATAATACAAAACTTATATCTGGTTTTTACTACCAACAGTTTCCTATAACAGGAAAAGGTGTCATACAAGGAATGTCTGTTCCATTGACTTTAAGTACACCTATTTTATATATTGTTTCAAACTTAGGTTCAAAGTGCTATTCGAATGTCGACAGAAACTACTATGACAAAAGATACTCATGCGTATAAACAACACTTTCTCTGCTGGTTTGCCTATTGTTCATTCGAATGCAGAGTTTTCAGCTTTAGTAAACTCAAACACTTTAGCAAAACATAAACTTAACCTTAGTTGACGCAACTTTGTTCCTGTAAAACTTTTATGTCCTATGTATTTGTCAATGACGGCAGAAAGTTTCGAATTGGAAGATGCAACTGTGAAAGTATTGTACTACAAGAACAACTTCAACAACAAATAGCTCAAGAACAACAAATGCAACAAATGGAACAAATGCAACAACAAAGTCAAGAATAAAAAAATATTTTTTTTTATTTTTATAAAAATGTACAGAATAGACGTTTCAGATTTTTATGACTTCCAAGCCTTCAGAAATATGTGTCCATTTAGAGACTAAACAAAGCAGTCGAGAATTTGAAACGTTTAGTCATTTATGTCGACTCTGCCCCAGAATGTTATGTCATGAAAGAATGGGATGTAGTCTTTAACAAACCAAGAGCAACAATAGTTTCAGAACAAGAATGTAAACAAACTTAAGAAAATAAAAGTCGTACAAGTTGGTATGAAGATGTTAGATGCTTGGGATATCTTATTGTCAAAGTTAGAAGATTTTTCAGTTCGTGGTATAAAGTTCTATACACCATCTCCAAACTTCTATTCTATCTTCACTGGATATAAATACGAACAAGTAGAATGGAAAGAAAATGTTATAGAAGCTTGGTTAGACCATGTCAAAAAATTATATGCAATGGAAACGAAAGAGTCTATGAGTATATCTTATGTTTGTTTGCAAACATCTTACAACATCCAAGTGCTAAAAATGAAACTGCTTCTCATTGTAATTGGAAAACAAGGAACAGGTAAGAACACTTTCTTTACAGATATCTTATGCAAACTGTTAGAAGGTTATTCGAACCCGAATATGACAAACTTAGAAAACATCTGCGGTAAATTTAACTCTTCAATAGAGATATGAAACTTATAGTATGTAACGAAACTTCAAAGTATAGATACAACAAAGGTTTTAAACTCAGATGCTTTGAAGAGTCTTATAACAGACAAAGTTTGGAGTTGTTGAAAGAAAATATAAAGACCAAAGAGTTTGTGAAAATGTTGCAAACTTCGTCATGGTTTCAAACAATGCTGTTCCGATGAAGTTAGAAAGTTCTGACAGAAGATATGTAGTTGTCAGAACGTCAGAAGCTCATATGCAAGATACAGAATATTTTGACGACTTAGCAGAAACTTTGACACCTAACTTTTACAACCACTTGTTCTCATATTTCATGACATTAGATATTTCTAAGTTCAATCCAAGACAAATTCCACATACCGAAGAGAGACAAACATTGTTAGAAGCAAACAAGAGTGTATATGAACTGTTCATAGATGAAACTGACTTTGAGTGTTTAGATGAAAGGTCATTGTACGATTCGTATAAACAGTATTGTCAAGAGTATGGTAAGATGACAGCGTCTAAACGAACATTCTTGGCAAATGTCAAAAGTCTTTTAGACGTACAGAATGGTGTATATACAAAGAAAAATTTTTCTGAGTAAATTTTAAAAAAAAATATTTTTTTATCCGATAGAAAAGATGACGAAATTCATCTCAGTAAACAAGTACATGTCAGGACTTAAAGAAGAACTAGACCCATTCACATATTTGAATGTTTACTTCTACCATTTTGAAAAGTCTACATTTGACAAAGTTTGGAACATCGAACCAGTTAAGTTTGCTATTGTGACTAAAAATGGTGCGAAATTTGAAGACTTAGACATCGAAGGTTTGTTAACAGTCAAAGAAAGTTTTGACAGAAGGTTTTCAAACCTTAAAGAAGGCAAAGCATACAAACTTGTTATACCTTATGAACCAAAGAAAGCAGACGACTATGAATATTATGAGTCTAAAGTTGTAGAAGTTCAAGGTAAATTGGGTAAAAAGATTTTAGAGTCTAAGCCGGTGTTTGCTCCTAAAGAGGAAGAGAACATTGACATTGACCCAGAAATGTTCTAAAAATAAAATTTTATTTTTACATGTCATATCTCCCCTTCTCTGGCTCTGGTTCTTTCTTCTCTTCTTCTACTTTCTTTTCTTTCTTTTCTCTCTTCTTCTTCTCTGGTGGAGTTATGTCAAACTTCTCAGAACCATATTTTTGTAAAAGGTCTTTGTCCTTTAATAGCTCTTCTATTCTGTCTTCTATTTCATTTTCAAGAACAGCGCATGTGTCTTCTTTGCATTCTAAGAAGTTTTGTTGGACTTCATCTCTCCAAGAGGCGTCATCTCTGTCAACAAGTCTGTCATTGACAAATTTTAAGACTTCTCTGCTTAATGTTTTATGGTTCTTGTCATATTCCCAGAAACAGAACTTTAGAACAAATTCACCTTTCTTGTTTACACTATGTAAGATTTTATGGTCGACAGATGTTTTGCTGTCGAAAAGCTTGTCTCGAATATAGATAGCGAAATCGCTAGACATTTCCTAAAAGATAAAAATTTTAATTTTTCTAAAAATATGTTAGAAAAAAAGTTTGCTGACATTGACAAGAAATTTGAGAATGTTTTAAATAAGAACAAGAGGAAGTTGGAAAATGCTCAGATAAAACCCATACATGACAAGTTCTTATTTGCTCAGAATGGTATAACAGGTCTAATTGCACCGCCTGGGTCGGGTAAGACTTTCACTTATCTTAAAATGGCTGCACAACAACAAGAACTAGATGAGAAGAACCCATTCTATGAGTTAGTAGTCATTTGTAGTACTTCTGGTCAATTTGACCAAACCGTCAATTCGTTCAAAGATATTATAAAAAAGTCTAAGTTAGTATGTATAAAAGACTCTGAGTTGTTAGATTGGATAAAGAAGTACCAAAGAAGAGTTTTGAAGTACAATGCTATAAATGAGTATGTCAATTCTAAGTTTAAAGACCCAAATGAGGAAATGCAGAGAATATTAGAGAAGAAACACTTCAGAAACAAACAGAAAGAGATAGAATACATTTCGAAGAAATTGCAATCTTACGATTGGAAGACTTACCCTCACAGATGTCTTCTTATCTTAGACGATTTCGCTTCTCATCCTTTGTTAAAGAACAGAGAACAAGACATGTGTCGAATTCTTAAGAAGCTCAGACACTTTAACATTTCAGTTGTCATTTGTGTACAGACAGCCAAGAGTTTAAGTAAGGATGTAAAGAGAATACTTACTGATATCATACTTTTCCCCGGATTGTCCGAAGACGATTTCATGGAACTTATGAAAGAGTCCATGGCAGGTAAGTTTGACAGACATGAACTATGGGAGAAGTACAAAGTCATACAAGACCCTCATACTTCTTTCAGAATTCACATCTACGCAAACAAAGTTCAAATTGTAAAAAGTCAAGCGTAAAAATGTAAGTGTTTGAGTCTTAGTCTGTTGTGGTGCTGGGGCTGTCGGTTCTTCTGGCTTTGGAATGGACTCGGTTGGTGGTACGTCGGACATTCGTTTGTGTCCTGTCGGAAGGAAGGACTTTTCCTGTCGGAAGGAAGGACTTTTCCTGTCGGAAAGAAAAACTTTTCCTGTCGGAAAGAAAAATTTTTCCTGTCGGAAAGAAAAATTTTTCCTGTCGGAAAGAAAAATTTTTCCTGAAGGTCGGCCAAAAAGTTCTCAATTTTCGAAAATTTGAATGGTTTACGGACGAACAACTGGAAAAATTTTTCCTGTAGGAAGGAAAATTTTTTCCTGTAGGAAGGAAAATTTTTTCCTGTAGGAAGGAAAATTTTTTCCTGTTGGAAGGAAAAACTTTTCCTGTAGGAAGGAAAATTTTTTCCTGTAGGAAGGAAAAACTTTTCCTGCCAGAAGGAAGGACTCGGAATGCCAGAAGGACTCGGACAAGACAATTTACCATCTAGAGCTACCTGAGCCATCTTTGGTGTCAAGCTTGAAAAATAAATGGTTCATTTACTCTTCCTCTTTGAAGTTATCGAAATACTCTGTTATCTTTTCCTTCAGTAGCGGTAAGTCTTCTTTGAATGTAAGTATTGTACAACCTTTCATATCATAGTGTGTTTGAGGTAACGTATCTTGAACTATCCGTTTAACATCTTCATTCGGTGTCATTGAAATCGGTAAGTTTTCGCGATAGAACCAATTTCTGTCAGATTTGTAAATCTTAGCTAAGTCGTAAAAGCTTTTGTTGTTTCTTCTGACTAAATGCAACATAACCATATCTCTGTCTTCTTCATTTTCCATCTCTTCAGTGTAAATCATATACTTATAGTTCTTTTCCTTTCCTTTTGGTACCGAACGTGGTATTCTTTTCTGTATGTTTTTGTCTTTTGCTTCAAGCTTGTTCTCTAGCTCTTCACGTTCTTGTCTATGAAGTTCATCTAACATCATGAAAATATAACAAGCATAGCGAGGTGAAGCCCACATTGCAACAGCATTTACAAGAAGTCTATGTACATACCAACCTCTCAAACCATTTGGCAAATTTTGACGATTTTCGTACGGAATCTCGACCCGCGGTTTTCTACCGGTCGCAAACATATGAGGAAATTCTTCTAAAAGTTCTTTTGTCTGTTGGTTTTCAAACCAATGACGTGCTTGCTTTGTAGAACGAAGAGCATTCAAAATACTTTGCATTTGGTACATGTCATCTTTGACCGAACGAATGAGACGGAGTTGTTTGTTATACTGTATGTACTCGTATTCTTCATTTATATCTTCATGAACGATAGCAGTTGTTGTGTTCTCTGTTGTTGTCATATCTGTCTTTACATACAAAATAAAAAAAATATTTTATAAAAACTAACGCTATTTTCTATCTTGTATAAAAGACCAAAAATAAACGCTTTACATGTATTTTTCAGCAACTTCGTCAAATAATTTTATAGCTTTGTCGATCTCATCTACTTCAAACGTTTCTTTACCTCTCGTGGGAGCACCATACATTTTCTCAAACTTTTCAAGTAGTTCTGTTTCAGCAGCTCTCATATCGTTAACAAACGCAACCTTAACTCTATTGACTATACTGTCATATCTTTGAGTTATATTAAATGTTCTTCCTATCTTATATCTCTTTGTATTGAAGTCCTTCGGTTTCTGAACGATGTAAAGTAAGCCTTCACTGCAACGTTCCGTATCGAATGAACCATATGTTATGAAATTATATCCAACAACTGGGTCAATCCAGAACAAAACTACTGGTATAAGACTTTTGTCTATAAGATATGTTCTTGTTCCATAGAATCTTACCGATATCATAAGCTCAGGATTTCTTGTCAAAATTTTCTGAGTTGAAGCATTTTTAACCCAGTCGTGTGCTTTCTTTCCTTCAGATAGTGTTAAAATGTCTGACAAAGAATATTTTTTGTATTTCTTTGAGTATCTTACGTTTAAATCACCTATTCTAACCACCTTGGTCTCATTGTCTATCTTTTTAACTGTTTCAAACTCAGTGTTTGTCATTTCCTGTTCTTACATACAAAATAAAAAAATAAAAAAAATAAAAACTAACGTTGTTTTTTTATCTTGTATAAAAGATATGATTTCAGGGATTTTTTTGACGAAGTGCAAAAGTTCTCTTCGTCAAAAAAATACAGTTATATCATGAAATTTGGTCATTTTTTCACGATTTTCATGAGTTTTAGGCGACCCCGGGAAAAGTCGGGGTCGCAATTTTTTACGATTTTCATAGAGTTTTGGCGACCCCGGTTTTTTCCCTACTCGCATTTTTTTACGATTTTCATGAGTTTTAGGCGACTACGGTTTTTACAGGGGTCGCAAATTTTTACGATTTTCATGAGTTTTAGGCGACTACGGTTTTTTCCGTACTCGCAATTTTTTACGATTTTCATGAGTTTTAGGCGACCAGGGTTTTTTCCGTACTCGCAATTTTTTACGATTTTCATGAGTTTTAGGCGACCAGGGTTTTTTCCGTACTCGCAATTTTTCACGATTTTCATGAGTTTTAGGCGACCAGGGTTTTTCTCCCACTCGCAATTTTCCACGATTTTCATAGAGTTTTTTCACGATTTTCGTACGGAATCTCGTTCCTCGGTTTTCCGAGGGTCGCATTTTTTTACGATTTTCGAATGGAATCTCTACCCCGGTTTTTCTCGGGGTAGCAAACATATGAGGAAATTCATGAAATTTGGTCATTTTTTCAGCAAAAATATATTTTAGGCGAACCAGGTCCCTCGGTCCCTCGGTCCCTCGGTCAAATGAACTTCTCTGAAAAAGTGTGACAACATGACATTTTGACAACAACACAGGAAATATACTTCATCGTAAATGTTTTGTCAAGACTTTCATCGTAAATGAGCGTAAATCAGGCAAAAATATATTTCTACCATAACTATTTACAAGCGCTTTACATGGTATATGTTGTGATGGTTCATGACTTTAAACAGTTTTGTAGCTTCTATTTCTTCACGAAGGATATCAAAAGTTTTAACGATACCGAAAGTTTCTTTATATTTCTTCTTGACATCTGAAAGAAGGAAATCGTTAGCAGTTGGATAGTTTTTTGTTCAGAAATGTCAACATGTCCATTTTATCTTCTGCTGGTTTCTCTGCTTCTTTCTTTAAGTCAGTATAGTCTTTTCGCATACGTTCTATCTCTTTGACGGAGTAGTTATATTTCTTCATTGCTGCTTTACATTTTGAACATTGTGGGTTCATTTTAGCATTGTACATTGAAACCTTACCTGCAAGTATGACTAAGGCGTAAATGGTTTTCTTTAACTCAAAGGCTGCTGGTTTTATTTGTCCGTTCCATACTTTACCTCTTCTATCTTTATCTCTTATCTGCCATACACATTTTGCAACTAACGAAACAAAGTTGTCGTAGGTCTTAAATTCTTCAGATTTATATATGTCAATGAAATATACCATATCGCAGTCTTTGTGGTTGCAATGAAATCCAAGAAACTCATAGTTTACCTTTCGTATGAACTTCTTTATTTCTACTGAGTCAGTTGGTTTCACTTCTATTTCATCGAATTCTGGAATAGTAAGCTTTTGTTGTTGTATTTCAGGAAGTTTAGGTAGATGGTCAATAATATCCTGCATTTCATAAAGATACTGTTCATTTGTTTCATCTTTTGCACTACAGTCTAAATCTCCTTGGAGAAGTTCTTGCTTTATCTTCTGGATTTCTGTTTCGAAAGTATATGAAGAAGGAATGAAGCTTTTCATCTCTACTAACATAGATGTTGGGTTCATGACTAACGAGTTTGGTGCTGTTGTTGCTAACATGTTCTTACAATAAAAATAAAAAAATATTTTTTTTTAAAAAACTAAAATATATTTTTGCCGAATTCAAGAGTTTTGTGTGTTTTCTACGGTGGAGCCAAAAGTGGTTCGACCTCAAAACAAGCATTTCGTGAAGAATATACCACCCGCCGGAATTCCGCGGGTTGCTTTTTATACAAAACATTGACGAAGAAAGTCTTGACAAAACAAGCATTTCGTGAAGAATATACCACCCGCCGGAATTCCGCGGGTTGCTTTTTATACAAAACATTGACGATGAAGAAGTCATGACAAAACATGTACGATGAAGAAGTCATGACAAAACATTGACGATGAAAGTCTTGACAAAACAAGCATTTCGTGAAGAATATACCACCCGCCGGAATTCCGCGGGTTGCTTTTTATACAAAACATTGACGAAGAAAGTCTTGACAAAACAAGCATTTCGTGAAGAATATACCACCCGCCGGAATTCCGGCAGGTGCTTTTTTTATACAAAACATTGACGATGAAGAAGTCATGACAAAACATGTACGATGAAGAAGTCATGACAAAACATTGACGATGAAAGTCTTGACAAAACAAGCATTTCGTGAAGAATATACCACCCGCCGGAATTCCGCGGGTTGCTTTTTATACAAAACATTGACGAAGAAAGTCTTGACAAAACAAGCATTTCGTGAAGAATATACCACCCGTCGGAATTCCGGCAGGTGCTTTTTTTATACAAAACATTGACGAAGAAGTCTATTTCCTGTGTTGTTGTCAAAATGTCATGTTGTCACACTTTTTCAGAGAAGTTAAAATGACCGAGGGACCGAGGGACCGAGGGACCTGGTTCGCCTAAAATATATTTTTGCCGAATTCAATAAAAAGAAATGGTTCATTTACTCACAATATTTTTGTACAAAACGACCCCAAACTTTTAACCTCTCTTCTGTAGCTTCTAATGAAACTTTAGCGAGTTCATATTCTCTAAATTCTCTCTTTAAATCTTCTTGTTCCCATTGGTCTAGTTCGTATGGAGAGTCTCTATAACCAGAACATATCTCATGTTCATGTTCTATTTGTTTTTCATGCATTTTTCTAACTTCTTCTTCGAACAAAGGTTTAGCATTCTCTGCTGTATCTTCAAGTTCTTCTTCATCTAATTTCTCATGAACTTTCTTGTCTATGGAGTCCATAATTTTTCCAACTGCTATGCAATATTTTGGAGAAGCCCACATTGCTATATAGTTTACGAGTCTTGGGTCTACATACGTTCCTCTAACCTGTTTGATTTCATCGGGAATTCCTGCATGAACTGTGTATAAAAAGCAACCCGCGGAATTCCGCGGGTTGGTATATTCTTCACAAAATGCCTTAAAATACTCTTCCCAGGACTTATTTTCCAACAACCTTCTAAAGTCTTTCCTAAACTGCTGACAGATCTTTGTTGCATTTATATAACCATCCTTGTCTCTACGTAAGACTTCAATACCGTTGTAAGTGCCTTTTGTGAATGTTTCGCCATTAGATTTGTTCGTGAACGTTTTTGCTTCGACTGTCATACTGTTCTTACAATAAAAATAAAAAATATTTTTGTGGCTTAACCGTCGGACATTCGTTTGTGGCTTAACCGTCGGACATTCGTTTGTGGCTTAACCGTCGGACATTCGTTTGTGGCTCGACCTCAAAACAAGCATTTTGTGAAGAATATACCAACCGCCGGAATTCCGGCGGTTGCTTTTTTATACAAAATTCAACGGGTGAAGTTTATTTCCTGTGTTGTTGTCAAAATGTCATGTTGTCACCATTTTCAAAAAGATGTTAGTTGACCGAGGGACCGAGGGACCGAGGGACCTGGTTCGCCTAAAATATATTTTTCAATACTTTTTCAGCACTTTTCCGTAGTTGTATATGAAAGACAATTCGAGATAAAAGTCATAGTACAATGGTATAATATGCTGCACACCGTTTGTTGTGAACCAAACTTGAAAGTCAGAGAAACTGTTACTAGGTGGTTCGTAGAATTTAGAAGCAAAGTCATAAAAGTCCTTACCGATACATAGAAAACTGTTGTTGCTTGAACTGAAACTTGCATGACACATGACATTTTGAGGGTCGAACACGTTTCTATAAACTGTCAAATCTGCTGGTGGAAGTATAAATTTAAATGGACCATCTGGTGGCAATGGTTCGTTCTGGTTTAGTAACCGAAGAAATTGTGCCCAAGAACGTTTGTCTACTCCCCAATATAAAAACTCTGTATCTCTTGGAGGGTTAATTTCAATCTTTTGAAATGAAACGGTGGAATTCATCTTGTCGTATTCTAGTTTTAGATAGTATGTTCCATTTAGTAAAGAGTGGTATTTTTCTTGAAATTCCCAGTAGTATTTGTTTATTTGAGTTTGAAAGTCATTTAGAGTTTTTTCAAGACTTTCGTCTGAACGAACTGTAAAGATTCTCATTTCGTCAAATTTTTCTATTAGACCGTCAGAACCTTTATACTGACCGTGAAAATATACTGCGAACATAAACGCGTTAGTTCTATTTGAAAACAAAACTCTTCTAAATCCTATTGCCTTTGCATCTGAAGGACTTTGAAGCCAACGAATTGGATAGTCAAACCTGTAAGCTCCGGATGAAATTTCTTCATCTGAAATAGTCCTACCAGCGTTTGTAAAGATATAGTCTAACGGTTTTGTATCTGCTGCTTTTGTTCTTTGTTTTTCAACCTGAAGCATTTTATATATGTAAAAATATACTGTTTTAAAAATGTTTTTACTTCATGCAATGTTTTATTTCATGCAATGTTTTATTTCTGTGCCGTCTTCAAGTACGGCCCAGTACTTACGCTTGGAGAGAACATGAACTTCGGAAAATACCTTGTCTAGCTTAAAAAGGCCCATCTTTTCACCGACCATTCCCATTTCAATGAG